ATGCTAAACGCGAGCCATCTTATCCTGATTCGAACTTCTGTTATTTAGAATCACTCCCCAAGTAGGATTCGAACCTACGACCAGTCGGTTAACAGCCGACCGCTCTACCACTGAGCTATTGAGGAAGAAAAGGAGATTCAAATGAATCGAGTTAAATTCCTGTTCTCAATGCAAGACCACTATAGACGGGGTTAATTCCCGTCGTTCACCCATAACCCGAATTGCTGTTTCGTTTCGATAAATTCTATAAATAAGAAAAGTCCAATAAACTTCATTTCATATAAAACCTATTTTGAATTCCATATAGTAGAATAGTAAAAAAATCATAGTATAAGATGTGAAGACAAATCTACTAGTTTATTGTTTGATAATATCAAAAAAATTTTTATTTTAATTAAGGAGCTTTTTATGTTTATAGGTTCTGATTTATTCTTGAAGGTACTCAATTCAGTCGTTGTAGTCGGACTTTATTATGGATTTCTTACCACATTTTCAATAAGGTCCTCTTATTTATTCTTTGTGCGAACTCTGGTTCTGGAAAAAGAAACAAATACAAATAATAAGGTAGCAGCAACCACTGGTTTTATTATGGGACAGCTCATGAGATTCGTATCCATCTATTATGCGCCCTTTTATCTAGCTTTGGGTAGACCTCATACAATAACTGTCCTTGCTTTACCTTATCTTTTGATTCAGCTTTTCTTGAACACTGAAAAAAAAATTTTTGCTTATGGATCTAATAACCAAAATTCGATCCGTGAGCTAGAGAATATCTTTGTATTCCTCAATCATCTTATTTTTCAGTTGCTTAACACTTGCATTTTACCAAGTTCAACGTTAGCCCGATTAGTAAGCATTTATCTGTTTCGCTGTAATAATAAGATGTTGTTTGTAACAAGCAGTTTGTTTGCTTGGGGAATGGGACAAATTTTAGTCATAAATTGCTTGGAATTTTTAGCAGTCTGGATACAGAAAAATAATGTTATTAGGTCGATCATTCGAAAGTACCTAGTGAGAAATTCTATATTTTTTATTTTAGTAAATTATAGTTTTGGAACTCTAGTATGTATTCTAAGTATTCAGTCTTTAGGCAGAACACCCTTACCTATTCCTACTCAGAAATTTAGTGAGGTCTCAAAAATAGAACAAAGGGAAAAGGAAAGGTTGCAAAGGGAGGAAGAAAAAGACGTAGAAAAAAAAAAGAAATCCGCTGAAAAAGATCCTTCCCTTTTTTCCGAAGAAAAAGGTATTTTGGAAAAAGAATTGGACTTGAAGGTAAATGAACCAGACTTGGAAGGGTCTGATTCCGAATTGGAAATCCTTGAAAAAAATGAAAATAAAGAACATATTGTGGCTCTTCTTTTTGATTATAAAAGATGGACTCGCCCATTTCGTTACATAAAAAATAATAGACTTGAACAAGCTGTAAGAAACGAAATGGCACAATATTTCTTTGACATACATAAAAGTGATGGAAAAGATAGAATATCTTTTACCCATCCGATAAGTTTATCAACGTTTTTTCAAATAATCAAAACAAAGATACCCCTTTTGTCACTAGAAAAAGATATTTCTAATACATTGGACAATTTTTGGGTTTCTAGAAACAAACAAAAATTAAATTCTATAAAAATTGATTTGCTAAATCGAATTAAAAATCTTGACAAACCAGTAGCAGTTCCAATAATCGAAATTGAAACAAACAAAACGCGATTATGTATACACAATGATGAGACTAGAAAAGAATACTTACCAGAAAAGTATGATCCCTTGTTAAATGGGCCTTCCCGCGGAAGAATAAAAAAAGATATCACGTCGATAAACGATACTTCGATCAAAAAGTTGAGAGAGAAGGTTATGCTAAATAGACTTCATGCTTTATTGTTGATGTCTACTTTTGAAAAAAAGGAAAAAAAACCATTACAAGTTGGTGAGTTCTCAACTTTATCATCAAGTTTCAATTTAACGGATTCAGAACAACTAACAAAATTTTTAGTAAATGCAATTGAGACAGACGATAAAAAATCTTCTGCAATAGAAAAAATAGGTAAAGAAGAAATTGGTAAAAAAGTCCCCCGATGGTCATACAAATTAATAACTGAATTGGAACAAATATCGTATTTTACAAATCCACCAGATGATCATGATATTCGTTCAAGAAAAGGGATCAGTGTATTAATTTTTGAAGAACCTAAGACTCTCAAAGATAAGACTACAAACAAAGATAAGAATACAAAAGATACAAATATTCAAGCTATAAAATCCGACGATAATGAGAAAGATAAAAATATTAAAAAGAAAAAGGAAGATGAGGATAATAAGCTTTTTTTATTACGATATCCGCACCAATCTGATTTTCGCCAAGGCTTAATAAAAGACTCTATGCGAACTCAAAGACGTAAAATAGTTATTGAGGGACTTTTTAAAGCAAATGCGCATTCCCCTCTTTTTTTTGACAGGATGAGGAAAAAAAACCTTTTTTTCTCTACCATACCTGGCTCAACTGAAACGGCTTTTTAGAAAATGGTCATCCATAAAAGAGTTTGGGATTTTAGAATCTACAGAGGAAAAAAAAATAATAATAAAAAGAGAAACCAAAAAGGAAAAAAAACGACGAGAGGAAATAGAACGGTTAGAGATAGGGGAAGCCTGGGAGACTTTTCCATATACCCAAATAATAAGAGGTTTTTTATTAATAACCCAATCAATTCTCAGAAAAAAGATTCTATTACCTTCATTCATAATCGGTAAAAATATCGGGCGTATGCTACTATTTCAAACTCCTGAATGGTCTGAAGATTTAAAGGGATGGAATAGAGAAACGCATGTGAAGTGTACTTATAATGGTATTCCGTTAGCTGACAAAAAATTTCCGGAAAATTGGTTGACAGAAGGTATTCAAATCAAAATTTTATTTCCTTTCTGTCTCAAACCTTGGCACGAATATAAATCGCTAAATTCTCGTGATGACTTTTGTTTTTTAACAGTTTGGGGAAGGGAAACAGAACACCCTTTTGGTCATCCACGACAAAAACCTTCGTTTTTTAAGCCTGTTTTTAAGGAACTTTACAAATTTGTAAAAGTAAAAATTAAATTTTTAAAAAAGTTTTCAAAAAAAACACAAGTTCAAAAGAAACAAGAACAATACACCGAGTGTAATAAAAAATGAAAAAGATGATCTAATAAATAACCAGATAATGAATCAACCCTTGAGTAAAATTGAAAAAATTACAGATTGGAAAAATTATTCACCGATAGACAAAATGCAGGCTATCACTCATAGGACAAGTACAATTAAAAAAAAACTAGAAAGAATTACGGAAGATAAGAAAAGGGTCACTCTAGAACTTGATATGAACCCTTACAAAAAAAGTTCGAGATTAGCCTTGTCAAAAAATTTTTGTCAAATGTTGAAAAAAAAAAAAAATAGATAATATATAAATTTAATTATTTATAAAATTATTTATTCAAAGAATATCTAATTGTATTTTTTTATATACTATATCTATTTGCCAAATGACTCAAAAAGTCTTTGTGGAATCAACAAAAATGAACTCTCTTTCAAATTCAAATATAAAAACGCATAATAATAAGCTTTATAAGGAAAATTCAGAGAGTTTTGGTGATTTATCCAACTTGTCACAAGCATATGTATTGTACAAAATATCAGAAAGGGGTTTTTTGAACGTACGTAATTTCATATCTGTTCTTCAACAAAATGGAACATCTTTCTTGATTAAAAAGAAAATAAAAGACTCATTTCATACACAAGGAATACTTCCATCTGAAGGAATAAAAAAACAACTTAAGCGGCCTAGAACGAGTCAATGGAAATTTTGGTTAAAAGGGAATTCTCACTACGATTTATCTCCTAATTTCTGGTCTGCCTTAAGATCACAAAAACAAAAATGGAGAAATAGGGCGAATCGCTATCGTAGGTCTAAACAAAAATATTTAGACAAAAGGACTTCCGGTAAAAAATTAAAATTAAATACTTACAGGAAACAAAAGGATGCTAACTCAGTCTTGAATAAAAAAAACAAAAGATAATTTAAAAAAATGCTATCGATATGATCTTTTAGCATATCAATACATTCAGTATGAAAAAAATAGTGGAACCCCTCCAGGAGCTAAACGGGAAGCAATTTCTTATCATTACAAGATGTCACAAAACAACTTGTTTGCGATAACGAAAAATATTCCTATCACTAGTTTCAGAGGAAAAATAGAAAGGTTAAATATTCCATATCCAAAAAAAGATGTCGATAGAAAATATTTGAATTGGAAAAATATTGATTTTTCTCTTAAAAAAAAAAGCGAATATTGAGTCCTGGATCACGGGTAATTATAACAATACTCAAAATACTCCAATTTTCACTTACAATTATCAATTAATTGATAAAATGGAAGAAATTTTTGAAAATTGAGCAAATTTTTAAAAACGAAAAAGATCCTTTTGCTCTTTTGATTCAGAAAAATACCGAAATGAATCGACTCCATTCTAGAAATTCTTTATTGGATTGGATGGGACTGAATGAAGAAATACTCGACCGTCCATTAACGGCTGAGGAACTTTTGGTTTTCCCAGAATTTGTGTGGTTTGTTAATTTATATAAACTGAAACCATGGATTATACCAAGCGAATCACTTATTTCAAATTTGAATCTTAATGAAATGACAAGTCAAAAGACCGGTAAAACTCAGAAAGATAAAAAAGATAAAACTGAGAGTAAAAAAAAAGATAAAGCCGAGGGTCAAACCAAAAGTGAACCTGAGGGTCAAACCAAAGGTGAAACTCAGGGTGAAACCAAAGGTAAACCTGAAGGTGAAACCAAAGGTAAACCTGAAGGTGAAACCAAAGGTAAACCTGAAGGTGAAACCAAAGGCGAAACTGAAGGTGAAACTGAAGGTGAAAAGAAAAGTCAAACTGAGATAGAACTAGAGTTATTCATGAAAAACTATTTATTTTTTCAATTTAGAGAGGATTTTACTTTAAATCA